TCGATTTCGGCGTGGAAAGGAAGAGGGCACTGCGGATAGCGTGTCTTAGGGAGTGAAGGGCTACGGAGGGGCGTCCTGACAGTTGAGCTTTTCAAAAGAAAAAGGACTCGGCCTGAAAGCAAGGACAAACCAGGCAGAAAAGCTGTTGGCAAACCCGAAAGTAGAAAGTGAGGCGATGGGGTGGGGGCAGGGCAGATTCTGCCCCAGCCAATCGGGCACGCCGGGGCGGGTGACGTCACAGCCAATGAACAGCCAGCGCGGGACTTTCAACTTTACCGTCCCGCCCAATCGGGAAAGGACTGTGGCTATAAAGGCGGCCGCGGCGGCCCGGGACCTCGCTCCCGCTCCCGCCCCTGCGCGAGATCCGCCGCTACCAGAAGTCCACGGAGCTGCTGATCCGCAAGCTGCCCTTCCAGCGCCTGGTGCGCGAGATCGCGCAGGACTTCAAGACCGACCTGCGCTTCCAGAGCTCGGCCGTCATGGCGCTGCAGGAGGCGAGCGAGGCCTACCTGGTGGGGCTGTTCGAGGACACCAACCTGTGCGCCATCCACGCCAAGCGCGTCACCATCATGCCCAAGGACATCCAGCTGGCCCGCCGCATCCGCGGGGAGCGGGCCTAAGAAGTGCGCGCTCGGTCCCAGGTTCCATCGCACCCAAAGGCTCTTTTCAGAGCCACCCACCACCGCACTGAGAGAAGCTGTAGCGCTTGGGGCGGACTCAAACGACACGGAGGGCGGCCGGCAAGCTCCGGGCGTTCAGGCCTAGTCCCCTCTGCCGGCCGGCCGCCCTCGGGAATGGCACTCGGCCACCAGAGCGCTTGGGCCTCGCTGCACCCATTCTCGGGGCGGGGAGTGGGAGGGGCGGCACGTGGCGGACTCAAACGACACGGAGGGCGGCTGGTAATCTCCGGGCGTTCAGGCTTAGTCCCCTCTGCCGGCCGCCCTCGGGAATGGCACTCGGCCACCTCGAAGCGTGCACCCTAAACATGGCCGCTCCTCGGACAGCCGTGCCTGCCGGCGGTCTCGTGGACGGTCTCGCAAAGTCGGCCGTCAGAGGTGGACTCTAACCGGCAGCTCGGTGACGCGCGCCCTCTCCCGAAATGGCCTCACCCGACGCGACTCTCGGCCTGGGGACGAAAACGTCGCCCTCTCTGTCCCCAGGGCTGTGCTCCTTTTAGCGAATCCCCGGCCCCGTCAGGGCGGAGGGAAGCCTGTGTGGACACCGCCTGTGGGCCACTTGGGGGCTGGGTTGGCAACGGACCAGGTCCGCAGAGCGAGGCTCCCCGCACACCCACCGCCAAGGAGGCCCTGAAGGCTTCCGCCTGTGTCCGGCTGCTCTGCACACACGTGGTTTCTCCACTTTTCCCTAAAGCTTGCTTTGCCTCTCGATGTGTCCGCAAAGGGGAGAGCAGTGAGCAGTGAAGGGACTGGGGCCCCCCTGCTTCAGGATCACCGCAATTTCCAGAGCGCGCCCCTCGCTCTGGGCCCAGTCCCTTAGTACCTGCGTGGGGAGGCCTCAGTGCAGGCTCGCGTCTCTTGGCTCGGGTCTGGACCCCGGGGTTAGCAAGTACTGCTGACTCCAGAGGTGTGGCTTCAGGGGGGCACCTCAAGGCAAACCTTGCGGGGACTAGACCCACACGGGCCTTTCGCAGATAGCGTCTGAGGCTCTCGGGTGCGTGACTTGCCCAGGATCTCAGGTCCGGGAGCCAAGTAGCTGAGCAGGCCCTGAACCCTGAGTTGCCCCTGTCAGGTATCCGTGCTCGCCATATCCTCTGCCTGACCCCCAGAGGCCACTGCTTTCCTCTACCAGCCTCTATTACCCCCTCCCTCCCACCCCCCCTTACTCACAGGAAGCCTCCCTGTCCTCGTGCTCCTGTCACAGTCAAGGCCTACGCCACCCTCACAGCAGTCTTTCAAACCTTTCTGTTATTGGAAAAACCTACCCTGCACCTGGGACTTGACAAGCGAAAACATGTCTTCCTTCAGACCGAACTCCGCCTGGGCGTGGCAGGGGCGCCAGCGTAGAAGCTAGTGTGGCCCTGTGGACGCCTGTGCTTCCTTGGCAGGGGACTTGGCCCTTGGGTTCACACCCTCTCCTGGTCGTCCTCCCGACCCTTCTCCAGGTCCCCGGCCCAGCCTTCTCCTCTCTCCGCCGGGCCCATCCATCTCCTGGGCTCACCCCTGCCGGCCTTTGTCTTTCCTACCTGCAGCTCGAGTGAGATCGTGGGTTCCCCGCTTTCCCTATCTCTCTGCCTCTGACAAGTGCTCCCAAACCGGTATCTCCTGCTCAGACCCCTGTCCTGAACTCCACACCAACGTTTTCCTAACTGCCTTGTGCCTAGGTCCTTCTGGATGGATAATGGCTTATCTCCAAAACTGCACCCTCTCGCTTCCTTCCCCTGGCTACTTCTCACACCTCTCGTCTTCGTGAAAGACACCTTCGGCTCCCCACCCCCAGCCCCCAAGCTGTTTCAGGGCACACGTCCCTTCCTCCTGGCCTTTCTTTGTCCAAGTCTCAGGAGTCAACAGATGTTCAATCAAATCTGCTTTCTGTCTCCCTCCTTCTTTCCCTCCATGGTCCCGGCCTTAACTGATGCCTTCACCAGCTCTGAGTATTCACGCTAGCTAGACTCTGCCCGGCCACGAAGCTCCCACTCTTTGAGCCCGTCACTCTCTTGCTGAAAAATTTCCCACCTCCTTCCCAATGCCCTTCGGAATGAAGTTCACCTTCGTTTGCACCGCCGTTCGGAGCGCTGGTGGGTAAGGTCCACCAGGCACTCTGCACCCGGACAAACGGGAATTTGAATCCCGCTCTTGCCCAGACAACAGAACGGGTAGGTGGCTGTCTCCCAGCAAATGAATCTCTGCAGGCCTCACCTTTCCCCACTTGTAGAGCCGGGGGAGCAGCACCTTGCTAATTGGTGCTGGCGGACATATCCAGCGATGCGTCTTAACAAGTGCCTGGCATGCTCTCTGGTCCACGATAAGCATTCAATTCGTTTTAGCAATCCCGTTACAGCTGCCTTTTAATCCCATTAAAAGGCAACGAAAAAATTAACCCTAATATACATCTGCTTCCTGGGAGTTCTCAGCCTGCCCCGGATTCGGGTGTTCTGCCAGCTGAACCCAGTAGTTTCTAGCCCCACAGGACATCTGCGACCCCCAAGTATAAGGTGTCTTCACACATTTCTGTTTCTTCTGTGTGGAAGGCCCACCCCCTTTTCTAGAGCCCTGGGGGCCCCTGCTCTTCAAGATCCAGCCCCTTCCCTTTCTCCTCCTCCTCCTCACCCTCATCCGGGAGGAACTTTCAAGGTCTGGGTCACAGTGCCCGTGGGCAGGGTGTCTGGAAAGCCCCGGGAATGGCCACAGTCCCAGGTTCAGCCTGCTCCTGATGAGGTTAACTGACAAAAGAGTTCACTGAGCTGCACCCCCACCGGCGTCCCCAGTCTGTTCCTGAATTCAGATAACCTGGGGAGGACTACCTGCTTTTATATCCCCAAAGAGGTCCCATCCGGCCGTGCTGACAATTTCCTGGGGATGGGGTAGAGGCTTGGGGTGTGTTCAGGGGCTGAGAGGGAGGCACACACAGAAAAGCAGGAAGAGGAGGAAGGATGGCCCAGAAGAGAAAGGGGATGGGTGACAGAGCTCTAGGGTCCTCCCTGCTCTAAAGGGGTGAGGGGGGAGACAGCCTGCTTAAGGCTGAAGGCCCTTTACGGTTAACTTATGTATAGAGAAGGTCTAGCCTCCACCCCCACCCTTCATTCCTGTCCCCAACGGACCAGTTTCTGTCCTGATTGCCAGCACTGTCCTGATTGGCCGGATCCGCACACCGACCGCCGCGGGACCCTGCGGATTGGCCAGTAATTGTCCAAATGGGGACACAGCTGCGCGGTCCCTCCCCCGGACGGGGAAGGGCGCCGTCTGGTTGTCGAAACGCAAGGCCGGCATGGAGAAGGGCCGGCTCGGCGAGCGGGAACAGAAGCGCTCGGCATGGCCTGTCTAAGCGCGTCACCGTTAAAACAGGGGGGCAGCTTGGAGAACGTCCTGTGCTAAAGGAGGTCCGGGGGCGCTCTAGTGCCCATGTCCGAAAGGTGCCCAGCTCCCCAAGGACTCTCTGGGTGGCCCTAAAAAGGACCTTTAGGGTTGCCGCACGCGTGAGCCCGCAACAGGCTTAGCCTCCGAACCCGTACAGGGTGCGGCCCTGCCGCTTCAGGGCGTACACCACGTCCATGGCGGTGACCGTCTTGCGCTTGGCGTGCTCCGTGTAGGTGACGGCGTCCCGGATCACGTTCTCCAGGAACACCTTCAGCACCCCCCGCGTCTCCTCGTAGATGAGGCCCGAGATCCGCTTGACACCCCCGCGCCGAGCGAGGCGGCGGATGGCGGGCTTGGTGATGCCCTGAATGTTGTCTCTCAGGACTTTGCGGTGACGCTTGGCGCCGCCTTTGCCCAGTCCCTTCCCGCCCTTGCCTCTGCCGGACATGGCTGCTCCTACCACGAGGCGAACCCACCGGGCGCCGTGCCGGGAGGGGAGCTCGGCCCCCTGATATACGAGGCCGTCGGACCGGATTGAAAACCGCGAGCGGCCACCATGGTCCCCGCCCCTCCGCCGTTTCTCTCCCCGCCCCCAACCCCCGCCCTCCGGCCGCCCTCTCGAGCCCAGAGGGCGCAAGCTCCGGGTTTCATCCCAACAAGAGGATCCCAGGCTCCAAACAGTAAGCAAGGAAAACGGCAACAAAAGCTGTTTCCGATCAGTAGACCGACGGACGGCCGGACGAGCCCATCGCCAGGGCGGCCGGCGCCTGGGCTGGAGGGGGAGGCGGACGTCGTCCCCACGCCCAGGTTGACTCTCCATTTTGTTGGTGCGGATGCCCATCCGTACAAGACCTACCGCCTGGCTCCTCCGAATGTGACGGCATTTGGAGGCAGGGCCTTCAAAAAGGCGATGAGGTGAAAGTGGGGTCACTAGGGTGGGCCCCAATCCAGCGTGATTCGTGTCCTTATGAAAAGAGGGGATCCGGGCACAGACAACACAGTGGGGCAACTGTGGGGGACAGGGAGAACGCAGCCGTCTGCAGGCCAAGCAGAGACCTCAGGAGGAAGGTAAACCTGCCAAATCCTCATCTCTGACTTCTAGCCTCTGGAATGTGAGGAAATTAATTCCTGTTTTTTACGCTTCCTCCCCTCGGGTGCGGGCAAATACAGGCCTCTGATCTCTGGCCGGAGCCTCATTCCCTAGCAGACCCACAGCGCACAATGGGATCCTGGGGTCTGCATTTGGTGAGTTAGAAGCAGAAACAACAGTGACTCTGGGCTGTGCAGGGCCAGCACCTTGTCACCCAGCATCTCATCCGCTGAAGTTTTGTTTTCAAACTTGCAGCCTGAAGTTCTCAGAGTGAGTGACATTCCAGCCTGGCAGAGCCATCATTGGCTGGGCAAACCCCTGCCGGAGTTTGTAGATTTCCACCTCACGGCCCTTCCTCCCCAGGATCATACTCCCTGGACTGATACTAAATCGAGTTTTAAAGCCAAACTTATCGCCAAAGATATCCAAGACCTCCCTGTGGCCTTGAGATTTAACAACTGCCTATGCATCTGTCATGGTTAAGGCAGTTCAGGGGTCCCTGGCTTAGTGGGAATCCAGAACCCCAAAATTAAATTAAATAAAAAAAGTTTTCTAAATAATTAAAGTTTAAAAACATATGCTCAATAAGTAGAAACTATTATTATTATAACAATTATTGCTATTAACCCCAACATCAGCCAATGTATACAGGTGTTTGAAAGAAGAGATCAAACATGTTCCTTAGGATTCAGCTCATCTCACCATTAATAATTGCCTTCTCAGAAGTTAAAATACCAAGCTCTCTCACCTCTACCCCCTTCCTCACTCTGGTAACTTTCTTCCTGATAAACATGCCCAGGAGGAGCCCATAACGAGCAACTAAGGTTCTCTCTGTTAGTGAAGGGATTCCAGCTGATGAGCCCTACTACTGTGAGGACAAAGTAAACTGAATTGAGCTATGGCCTCTGGGAGGGAGAACCAGAGCCCCCAATCCCATTCTCAAGGCCACCACACCATAGATGTATATTCACGGTACGTCCTGGAGGGGATAAAGTAAGTGATATTGTTATGCCCAGATTTCAAGATCCCCAAGGAAACCACACCAGGGAGCCAGTCCGATGCAAAAGCAGAAGGTCCTTTACTTGAGCTGGCCAGCTCGACTCCCCCCCTCCTGGCCGACAGAGCGACCGGAAGCAGAGTGCCACCCGTGAGAAAATCAGGGCTTTAATAGGGGGGGTGGAGTGAGGGGAGGGGAGCTGACTGTGTGCCCTGCCGATTGGCCAGGCGCAAGTCTGGTCTCGTTACACAGGATGTGGTCATCTCTATGGCGCGCATGTTCCTGTGGGCCCTGCCGATTGGCCAGGCGCAAGTCGGGTCTCGTTACACAGGATGTGGTCATCTCTATGGCGCGCATGTTCCTTGATTGTCATTGGTTAGTTTAAAGAAATCCCGGCTTCCGGGAAGAAGGTACTTTCCTGAGCACATGGCGACTGCCCCAACATGGAGGATCCGGGGTGAGATGGAGGGCATAGCCCTTGCCCTTTCAGATATTTCTTTTGATTTTTATTTTAAAGCATACATATTCCCCTCCCTTCCCCCTACTCCCCAATACAGAGAGGTCCAGGTTTTCAGTTAGTTACCTTACTTTCTCAAGGCCCTTAAACACAACGAGGAGTTTATTCTCTGGCGAGTGTCCAGGGAGAGTAAATGAGTCAGTATGCATAAAGGATTTTGAACATTGGCTGGAACATCTCTAGATGTTAGCTAAAATTTTGTAAGGACTTTATTTCTCCTATCTTCTTATTTTATAATGCTTCTTATTTGTGGTCATGTATTTTTCAATTACGAAGCATTAACCAAGTCCTCGGTGCACCTCTGAGCTAGAAGTGTGGCTAATCCTATATAATAAAAGGGTAATATGCAAATTGACCCTAACAGCAGAACGACTGCTGGATGTCATTATGAGGCGCACTGACCACCTCTTGGTGCCTTTCCACAGCCATCAGGCACTGATCACCCGATGACGAACAGGGAACTAGAGGTGGGTGGCGGTGGGGGGTGGGACCAGCTTCAGACAGCTGGGGAAGATGGCCTTGATAGCAGGCCAGGCCTAGGGACCATATCCATGCATGAATTTCATGCACCAGACCTCTAGTCCTATATAATAAAAGCCTAATACGCAAATCGACCTAACAGCAGAACAACTGGTGGAACAACTGGTCATTATGCCACACACTGACCACCAGGGGGCAAACACTCAAGGCAGGAGCTGCCCCTAGCCCACAGGCCCCAGGCCAGCCCTGCCCCCCCATCTCATCGCCCTGCCAGTCACCCCACAGATGGGTCCTGATCCCTGGCCAGGCCTAGGGACCCTACTCCTGCACAAATTTCATGCCCCAGGCCTCTAGTATCTTATAAATATTCATCCTTCAAGTCAGAGGTACCATCTTTTCCATAGACTCAGTAGTAGTTGTATATGCTACCTTCACTTAGTTAGAAAACATACCACAGATAAAAAAAACACACCTTAAATTGACTGGTAGCTTTATTAACAACAATACCATCTGCACCCATTTGAAAACACACATGTAGGAAACATAAGATTTATTCAGTGTATAATAATGTCTAGTGTCCATTTGGATTCATATAACCCCTGCAATCGACTCCAGGATTCCTTAGCCAAAAGCAGAATTGAATAATTGATCAGACCATCAGTGTATTTATCAGCAAAATCAAGGCTTGGACAGAAAGATTCAACTAAATAAAACTAAAATGCAACTGTCCTCACATCTGAGGGTACAATGGTGGACGACGTCAGCTGCATGGCCAGTGGACCGATCACTTTGCTTCTCTCAATCGTGTTTTTAAAGGGTTATTAGCCTTGCATATCTTACAGGGTCTGTCTTACATGGTCTCCTAAAAAGCAAATGAGACTGGTAAGTGTAAATTAAAGCTCATCTCAGTGTGGAACAAAGGGCTAAAGTATGGGAGGGGGAGGCAGAGGGCGTGGAGGGAAAAAAGAATCATAACAGGGGCCTCCTCCCAGCTGTTGCCCTGAGGTGTGACCACAGACAGATTTGGGAAACTCCACAAAACAGTTCCATTTTCATGTTTTCACATACAACTAATGGAAATGAACCACACCCATCCTTCCATGGAAATGATTTAAGGGGCGTGATAAGAAAATTCAATAAATGTTAAGTATTTAGGTGTCCCTCCACTATGTGCCAGGCACTTAATAGTGCTGATGATATAACGGAAAGCCAGACCAACAGAGTGTGAAGGGCTTGAGAAAAACTATAACAAAATAAACAGATCCAATTTCTGATGGCTGCTAGGAGGAAGGTAAAACCGGGAGGGACCAAGACAGGAAAGGAGGAAAAGTGCAAATTCTTGAGTGGGTGACTTGGAAAATGAGGTGTCTTTGGGCCTGGACCAAAATGACCAGAGCCTTGAAGTAACCGAAATTCAGATCTTTCTAAATGGGGGAGGAGGGTGGAGGGATTGAGCAAGAAAGAACTCATGGACAACAGTGCAGTGATTTTAGGGGAGGGGAAGAGTAGGGAGGATAAAGGATAATAAAAAAAAGATAAAGTTTGGAAACAATATTAAATGCAAAAATTACCCACAAAAATGAGAATAGGGATTTCAAAGCCAAGTGAGCAGAGGAAACCAGAACCTATGAATTTCAGAAGGGCGAGTAGTTTTGAATGTTAATGTCATCCAACCAGGAAGAGACCCTGCGCCGGACGCTGCTGCTCGCAGTGCTCAGAATCGCTGGTGTCCCCAGGCCACATCGCAGGGCAGAACTAGTTGCCGGCACCACAGCAGCTATCAGATTCTCGGGAAAATCCTTCAGGGTTGTGACGCAGTGTCCGAGGAACCTGGGCTCGGTTGTGTGCTGAGGTCCTTTCTTATGAAGATGGCTGAAGTCACTTCGTTTTAAAAAGCCGATGAAACACACCCGAGGCACCAGGCCACCAGTCCAGGGCCGGAGGGTGGGAGGAGCCGACTCTTAACCTCATTTAGAATCGACTCCGGAAAACAAAGAGCGCAGGAAGAGGTTAAAGACGCGCCCTCGATTCAAAGAGCAAAACCTGTCACGGATCGGGAACCCAAAGCCAAAGGTTTGAAAAGCTACGTGTGCCAACCCCGTAACCCTTGCCAGGAAAACTTACTTTGTGGAAATAAACCGAAGGAAAATTAACGTACAGCTACAGCTCTTTCTGGTGATTAGGTGGGTGGCTCTGAAAAGAGCCTTTGGAGTCAAGCAGCTGGCTACTCCGAGGAGCGCCGCGTCCCGGCCGGGACTCACTTGGAGCTGGTGTACTTGGTGACGGCCTTGGTGCCCTCGGACACGGCGTGCTTGGCCAGCTCGCCGGGCAGCAGCAGGCGCACGGCCGTCTGGATCTCCCGGGACGTGATGGTCGAGCGCTTGTTGTAATGCGCCAGGCGCGACGCCTCGCCGGCGATGCGCTCGAAGATGTCGTTGACGAAGGAGTTCATGATGCCCATGGCCTTGGACGAGATGCCGGTGTCCGGATGAACTTGCTTCAGCACCTTGTACACGTAGATGGAGTAGCTCTCCTTGCGGCTGCGCTTGCGCTTCTTGCCATCCTTCTTCTGGGCCTTGGTGACCGCCTTCTTCGAGCCCTTCTTGGGCGCGGGAGCGGATTTTGCGGGCTCCGGCATTGCAACAAAGCACTACAAGGATTAGCTGGAAAAAGAAGTGAGGCGCTGGGCGGGCCTGATCCTTTTATAACCACCGTATGCAAATTACGGTTTCAGAAGTCTCTCGTCTCCATTGGGCCACGTAGGAACCCAGTAATAAAATCGTGACAACACCAACTCTTGATCTTATTGGTCATTCCTGGAGCCCGTTTAGGACCAATGAAAAATGCGTTCCTGACCCCACCCCTAGGAAAGCTTATAAAGGCTTTCTACTTGTTTATCTTTCAATCCTGCTTCGCTGCGACATTCTGAGCTTGGGGAGCTTTCATCTCATTTGTAGTCATGTCTGGTCGCGGGAAACAAGGAGGCAAAGCTCGCGCTAAGGCTAAGTCCCGCTCGTCCCGCGCCGGTCTCCAGTTCCCGGTGGGGCGTGTGCACCGTCTCCTGCGCAAGGGCAACTACGCCGAGCGGGTGGGAGCCGGCGCGCCGGTGTACATGGCGGCGGTGCTGGAGTACCTGACCGCCGAGATCCTGGAGCTGGCGGGCAACGCGGCCCGAGACAACAAGAAGACGCGCATCATCCCGCGCCACCTGCAGCTGGCCATCCGCAACGACGAGGAGCTCAACAAGCTGCTGGGCAAGGTCACCATCGCCCAGGGCGGCGTCTTGCCCAACATCCAGGCTGTTCTGTTACCAAAGAAAACCGAAAGCCACAAGGCCAAAAGCAAATGAATGCTGGCAAAAGACTAAACCAAAGACCAAAGGCTCTTTTTAGAGCCACCCAAGCTTTCAAAAAAATAGAGCTAATGCGCTGTTTTGTGGTCAGCCCTTGATTTGACACTTTGTTGGCTCTTAAAAGAGCTTGGGGGGGGGTGGGGTGGGACGGGTGGTGTCAAGCATTTTAATTACTTGTATTTTGCCAGGCTTATGACTCTCCGTTTTCTTGGGCAACAAGACGGCCTGGATATTGAGTAAGACACCACCCTGGGCAATGGTAACACCCCCAAGTAACTTGAGCTCTTCGTCATTTCTCACGGCCAGTTGCAAATGGCGGGGGATGATGCGCGTCTTGTTGTCTCGGGCCGCGTTGCCCGCCAGCTCCAGGATCTCGGCGGTCAGGTACTCCAGAACCGCCGCCATGTACACCGGCGCGCCGGCCCCCACCCGCTCGGCGTAGTTGCCCTTGCGCAGCAGCCGGTGCACGCGGCCCACCGGGAACTGGAGACCCGCGCGGGACGAGCGCGACTTGGCCCTAGCGCGGGCCTTGCCTCCCTGTTTTCCGCGTTCGGGCATCACGGACAAAAAAGAAAAAAAAAAACAGCAGACTGTTTTACCATGAAAAGGACGTGGAAAGAATTACCAATTTAATTTATAAGAGCTGTTGGGAGGGGATGAAGGAAGGAAGTTTGATTGGCAAAGACTGCGGCCTATCAAACAGCCAGTAGGAAAGCAGAGAAGGCAGACCTTCCGGTCGCGTCCGGCACTAACAGGAAATGACGGGCTTCGCCACTACCTACCAATCGCTGTGAACGATATTAAAGTCCCTGGTTTGCATGCCAGGATTTTTAAAGAGACAAGGTTTTCAAATAAAGTGTCTTGTTTTTCCGAGTGGCACTTTCTCCAGTTTAGGTAAATAAATGGTGGCAAAAAAAAAACAATGCTGGTAGTTTTCCGCAGGTTTGTTTGTTTAGAGCTGAAAGGGAAATCCCAAGAAGGACCCCAAAAGGACTGCGGGGGGGCCTCAAGCATTTACTCCCACTCAGGGGCACGGGATTATGAAGCCGATTATCTCCTTGAGCCCTAAATTACCCTCAAAGTCCTGCCGATTCTGTCTCCTCAGTGCCAAACTCCTCTAAAGAATATATACTAAAAAAAGAAAAGAAAATGTACTAGGGCGGCTTCCTTTCTCCAATTGAGTCACTGTTAGCAATGTGGCGTGACCCACCCCCACCCTCCTCCGCTGCGCGGAATCCGCAGTGACTCAGGGCTACAACGGATTGGTCTTCCTCCTCATGACCTCCAGGAGGCGTCCGATACCACCTTCAAACTTGCTCCCTGGGCTTTCAAAATGTCCTCCGGCTTTCTTTATCCTGCTCCTGTTCCTCTGCCCACCCCTGCGTCGGTGTGTGCATCCAGGCTCTGCCTCCCTCCCCACCCTTTACATTGTTCACTCTTCCCGAAGTCTTACCCATCTCCGTGCTTTCGATGAACATCCAAATTTGTTGCAGGAACTCCGAGCCTTATACCAAACTGCTCACTATTTGTTCCAAATACTGCACCTGTACAAATGCCTACCCTCACCCTCTTCTCTGTTGTTTTCCTGAATTGCACCAACAATCTTGGAGGCACGAAAGCCAGAGTCTACTCCTCCCTTCATCTCAACAGCATATCCTGCTACTTCCTTGACATCTCCTCAGCCTTTCCCTCCACACTACTCTTGAATGCTCACTATCCTTAGATCAGCAACAGCCCCTACAGATTCATTTGTAGATTCCTAGTCCTCCATCTGTCTTTTATAAAAAATCTTTCCTGAAAGTTCTGTTTCTTCCTCCTCAGTTCCCCATCTCTGGGAGTTCTACATCCTGCACACCATTTTCACCTTTTCCTGAGTATCCCATCAGGACATAAGATAGAATGCTCTAGAGCAGTGGTTCTCAACCTTCCTAATGCCGCGACCCTTTAATACAGTTCCTCATGTTGTGGTGACTCCCAATCATAAAATTATTTTTGTTGCTACTTCCTAACTATAATATTGCTACTGTTATGAATCGTAATGTAAATATCTGATGTATTTTCATTGTTACAAATTGAACATAATAAAGCATAGTGATTAATCACAAAAACAATATGTAATTATATATGTTTTCCGATGGTCTTAGGCGACGCCCGTGAAAGGATCGTAAACCGCTGCTCTAGAAAAAAGAATCAACAAATTCTATTCCTTGAGCCCTTTTCTGATGTTCTATTTTATCTTCACCTTTATTCAACCAATATTTATAAAGTACATGCTACCTATCAGGCTATGGGTATACAGAATACAGACTAGTACAAAGAACTCTGTAATAAGATGCCTCTAGAAAATGGAGGAATTCTGAACTCTGGAAGTTAAATTAGCTAATATTGGCTATCTATAGAGATTCCCTCTGGTAAGAATGCTGGTATATATCTGTGAAACACCAAATTCAATTAAATGTGATGGAACTATTTCCTCAATAACAGAATATAACTGAAGATAATTCTAACCCAATCCATTACATCATTTCAGAAGATGCATGTGGTAATAGAAAGATCTGGCCCACCAAGAGTCAAAAGAGGGCAATTACAGTAGAAATGGTTGTTTCTGAGTATATGTCAGCTAGACACAAAGGATTGGGCTGTTATAGAAGGGACCCTAGTTGTGAAAGGATGAAATATTTCTGAACACTATCTAACTCTTAGCTCAGATTCCGTGCTCAATTAACCATTTTCTGATTAGTCTATTTGAAGATGAAAATAGGAGGCTGAGAATGGGAGAGCCAGTTATGGGAAAATACATCTACCTCTAGAAGTTACATTTGCATATTGAACAGTCATAAATTTCTTATGTATTTTGTTAGTGTGAGTCTCTCCCCAAAGAGCTAATCAACTCTAGAAGTTCTCATAGTTTCAAATTTTCAGATAGTGGGGACTCCCCAACACACAACTCCGGCACCCAGAAAGGCCCTGATTGGCAGACAAACTGACTTCCCCTCTCTGAGTTCTGATGTGTTTTTTAGTTTTGTTTTTTTTTACTTCTATCACAGTGACCCTGTGCTGATAGGGAAAAAGGAAAAGAGATTATACTTAACTCTTATTATGTGAAAAATCCTACGCTTGGACCTACCTAGGAAGTATAAATAATTGTTTATTTCACAAATAAGGAGTTAAAGGACTTGCCATAAATCACACAGCCACTTACTAAGGCATGATTAGAACCCAGGTCGGCCTGAGTCAAAGACTGTGCTCTTCACCACTTCATTCACACTGCTTCACTAACTAGATGTTAGGCTAAGGGACTACTTCACCTCCCAGCACTGCTTTCTTCCTCTGTTAGAGTGAGAGATAAACAATACTTCAGATTCCATCCAGCTATAAAACTGTATTAGATAAGTCTAGATAGGCCAATATCCTTCAAATTATCCCAGGCTCAATTACCATCTATTGCTCCCCAGAGGTCCTTTCCCAACATCCTTACAAGAGCTATTAAAAAATAAAACAGAGCAGGCCATTTATAAAAGTAGTACAGCATCACAGACAAACAGGCTGGATCTTGTTTCCTTAGCACCTCTGGGATTTCGAATCAACGGCAGCTGAGTTCCCTCCCAAGCAATCTAGTTAATCAAACATTTACTTTGCACTTCAGCTCCATCCCACCATTCAACCATATAGTCCTCTCCCTTCCCCTTTCCCTCCGCCTCACCCCACCACCACCCAGCCTCCTACGTGCTGAGCTGGTCACAGCCGGAGCAGCAAGGCCTTTCCACTGCCATTGTACATAGTTCCCTCTGGCTAGAATGCTTCATCCTCTTGACCTGCAAAATCCTCCTCATCCCCCAGTTTCAGCCCAGATATTATCACCTCTTCCTTCGTGGGGCCTTTCCTACTCCCACACCCACAGCCTCAGTACCCACATCTCTTTGTTCACATCCTGGTGACAGCGCCACTCTGTTCTGTGCTTTGACACTGGTCTCATTTCCTTTCCATGACCACCCCAAGGGAGAGACCATGTCTTGATCTTTGAATCGGGGGTCCTTAATTCCCTCTACCTGACCCTTAATAGGGTAGTTAAATGTTTTTGGCACGATTAAATAAAACAATAGAGAATTGGTGTCATCATTTCTAAAATAGTTCTCTTTAGTCAACAACCGCTCTCCAAATGCCCACTATAAGTAATAGAGTGTAGTGGCCAGAGTGATGGAAGATATAATAGGAGCTTGTCAATTAACTGGAAATAATATATACTAGTGCCTACCATAACAGAGTTGTTAGAATAAATTACAATAAGTGTAAAGAACCTGGTGCAGAGCCTAGAGCCTGAGAGGCTCAGTGCTGGGTTAGGAGGAAGAATAGCTTACTGGTTAATAGCCCAAATTCTACAGCCTGACCCAGTTAGGAACAGACCTGGCACCAACAAAGCAGGGGCATCCTAAAAATTCTTCCAATGAATTTGGAATTTCAAAAATAAACACTGGAGCCTGGCCAGTGTGGCTCAGTGGTTGAGCATTGACCTATATGAACCAGGAAATCACAGTTCTATTCCCCATTACGGCACATATCCCGGTTGTGGGCTCAATCCCCTGTAGGGGGCATGGAGGAGGCAGCTGACCAATGAGTCTCACTCATCATTGATGTTTCTATCTCTCTCTCCCTCTCCCTTCCTCTATGTAAGCAATAAAAACATGTATTTTAAAAATAAATAAACACTGGATTTATCCTATGACCCAACAATTCCACCCTGGATATATGCCAAACAGAAATGAATGTTTGCATCCAACAAAAAGCATGTACAAGATTGTACAAGCATGTACAAGTATATTCATATAACTGCAATACTACACAACAATAAAAATTAACAAATTAAATTACTGCCACACACATGGATGAATCTAACAATGTTGAGCAAAAAAACAACCCAAATGAATTCATACTGTGTGATTCTATTTACATGACTTTCAAAAACTGACAAAACTAGTCTATGGCGAGAGAGGGGTTAAACTGACAACTACTATGACAGGATGATATTGACTTCCCAGAGCCTTCCAAGGTGCTGGAAATTTTCTGTACCTTGATATGTGTGTATTTACATATAAATTTAAGCGGTTCACTTAAGATTTGTAAATTTCCCATGTGAAAATTATATGCCAATAAGCACAAATTAATTTTTTTCTAGTGAACAAATATTGAAGTAATCATGGTGGGGGAAGGATGAGTATTTTGTTGGGCATCCCAATCCTCATGTTACAGATTAGTGTTTACTGTTGTTTTGTTTTCATTACACATAAGGTGACCACGATAATTTCTAGGTGCTTAAAGCCTCTAAAAATCTTAATGTGGCCATGATAAACCTTCACTAAATGGTAGGTATTATTATGACTGTTTTTACTAGAAATAAAAACTCTAGGTGACCTTATAGAGCTTGCCCCTTGCAAAGCTTTATCTTTGCAAGAGGAATAATAATGTCAGCCTTCTCTATTCATACATTATTTCACTCATCCATTCAGTAAATTTTATTGGACACCCAAGTATGCCACAGCATCTAGAACAGTGATGGCGAACCTATGACACGCCTGTCAGAGGTGACACGCGAACTCATTTTTTTGGTTGATTTTTCTTTGTTAAATGGCATTTAAATATATAAAATAAATATCAAAAATATAAGTCTTTGTTTGACTATGGTTGCAAATATCAAAAAATTTCTGTATGTGACACGGCACCAGAGTTAAGTTATGGTTTTTCAAAATGCTGACACGCCGAGCTCAAAAGGTTCGCCATCACTGATGTAGAATGTAGTGAACACATTCCCTCTGCCTAGATTTCTCTTTCCACAGGGTCAATTCCCTCATCATTCAAAGTTTTCTCAGTGCCCCTAAGTCTGGATGGCATGCCTCTTTGGCAGTATGACAGTTAGCAATTGTCCGCTCGCTTGTCCATCTTCTCCAGTGTTCTGTAAACTCCTTGAGAACAGGGTCTGCTTTCTTCCACAACCTGCCTAACTGTTCTGGCGCACAATAATTATGTGTCCAATAAATGGGAGCTCTCTTTTCTTGTACGTAAAATCAAGGAGTTGGGCTACATGTTTGGCAATAAAATGTATTGAATAATTCCAATCCCAACTGCGCAGGGATTTCTTGGTTTTTATTGGATTGTTTGTTTGCTTTTGTTCTTGGTGGAAGGGGGTGGCATTCCTCTGCTGAAGAACCTCCGATGACCTCACGAGTCTGGGGAATCAGACTACAATTCCCGTGAGTCCTCGGGGCATCACGTAGCACCGGCCTGGTCCACTATCGCGCAGTGAGGACTCCATTTCCCAGCGTACCTCACTCAGGACCAGAGGACGCCTAGAACGCCAGAAGTCGGGTCCCTGAACCGAAACTGCTGTAGCCAAGGCTGAGCGGAAGGTAGAAAGGGCCCAGCCTAGGGTGCAGAGGGGACACTGGCCCAGCCGAAAGCACGGCGTTGCACATACCGGCTTTGGCAACCTTCGTCCGTCCTGTTAACCCCCGAATGAACGAACGTACCTGGCGCGCGGGCCTCCTCTAATCCTCGCGTGGCCGACCACCGCCAAACCCCCCGACGTCACACACAGGAAAGGGGCGGGGCCTCGGGGTCGGGCCTCCAGGCGGGTTTCCTGCAGCTGCGGGCGGTGGGCTCGGGCCGGTGGGGGTGGGGTGAGTACAATGTATATGAAAATAATACATAATTTTATTAATAAATAAACAGTAATAAAATGATATAACAACAAACTCATGATGTAAAAACAACACTGATGCAAATAATGACTGATAAAGTGATTAAACTTATTCCAATATCTCCCTGTATACCACATTAAAAGTAAAAACACTTTCAGAGTGCTTGACTAATTTCCCTTGGGATAAAGTATTTACAACTTTAACATCACACGCTCTTCGAACTTGAGAGAAAGCAACATATAATTGAGTCTCCAGGGTGACGGATGCTGAGTGGACAGCTGGTCAGGCGCCTGTTCTCCATGGCCAGCCGCGTCTGTCTGTCCCGCAGCAGCGCGGGACCCGGGGCCGTAGGTCCCGTCGAAGCCGTCATCCGCTCGAAGTTGGAGCAGGCCCTGAACCCCGAAGTGCTGGAACTGCGTAACGAGAGCGGCGGCCACGCGGTCCCACCGGGCAGCGAGACACACTTCCGCGTGGCGGTGGTGAGCTCTCGCTTCGAGGGGCTGAGCCCCCTGCAGCGGCACCGGCTGGTCCACGCTGCTCTGGCCGAGGAGCTAGCTGGGCCCGTCCATGCGCTGGCCATACAGGCGCGGACCCCTGCCCAGTGGAGAGAGAACCCTCAGCTGGACGTGAGCCCCCCCTGCCTGGGTGGGAGCAAGAAAACTCGAGGAATCCCCTGAACCCCAAAAAGCGAGGGCCGGGATCTGAATGGGGTGGGTGAGAGTAAGCTACTGGGGCCTTCTTCCCTTCAGTCCAGTCCAGTATTTGTCAGGGAAGAGGGTCCCCGGCCCCTCAGTCAACCCGTCTGTACATTGTCCTCTGGAGGCAGCACCTCCTTTCAGATCAAAGCTAACCCAAGGAGAGAGCAGAATCACTCATGACTGCTTTTGCCCTGGACTCTTCAGGAGAAGCTGCCGGGTCGCTTTATGTTAAACTGTGACTAAGGAACTTCAGATCTAATGAGCAGAAATAATCTTATACATTAAAAGAGAAAGTATCCTAGGAGGTGTGTTGCTGTGTTGTTAATTGCACATTGAATCGGTGCTACGGATGTTCTTGAGAGAAGAAAGATACCCGAAGCGCAGGGTAGTTAGGGAGGGCTTCATGGGGGAAGTGACGTCGTTGGATATTTAAAGAAAAGCACAGAAAGGAAAGGTGTTGCAGGCAAGGGGAAGAGCCCCCACGAAGGCATAGAAACTAGACCCGGCAGGGACCAATTGGACGGCACAGGATGTATACCTCACATTTTCTTTATCCACTTATCTGTTAGTGGGCATTTAGGTCGTTTCCACATCTTAGCTGTTGTAAATAGTGCTCCCAGATTCTGATTTCAATGCTTTCAGTTAAGTACCCTGAAGTGGGACTGCTGCGTTATATGGTAGTTCTATATTTAACTTTTTTAGGAACCTCCATATTTTCCGTAGCAGCACCAGCTTGCATCACCACCAAAAATGTGCAAGGATTCCAATTTCTCTACATCTTTTCCAACACTTTCTGTCTTTTGGGGAGTTTTTGGTAATAGCCATCGGATAGGTATGAGGTGTTATCTGGTGGTTTTGATTTGCATTTCCCTGATAATTACTTACATTGAGCATTTTTTTTCATATACCTGTTGGCCATTCGTATGTCTTCTTTGGAGAAATATTTGTTCAAGTCCTTAGCCCATTTTTTAAGTCAGGTTGTTAATTTTTTTTTTGCTATTGAGTTGTAGGACATTACCCCAAGTCTTCAAATCTGGGAGACAGAGAGGGCCCTCCATCTGTAGAAATGGAAAAATCAGAACAGAGAGGCCAACTGAGGAAACGAGTGTGATACCTCATGTTGTTCTGGCTTTCATTTTGGAGAGAGTTTTCCCATCTCACCATCGTCCCTTCCGGCAGGCAGAACAGAGAGGCAAGGAAGCAGACATAGTCATTTTGGATTTTTAGGATTGGTTGTTTTCTTTTTATTTTTCATCAATATTTTTCATCTCATTTTTCACATCAATAGAGTGGGTTTCGGGTTCCCCAGGAGAACAAGGGAGATGGATGGGTCCCTCCAGGGGGTGCAGGAGAGAGGGCTGCATCCAGCAAGTGAAGGGTGAAGGAAGGGCACACACTCGTACACTGGGCACTGGAGGAGAAGGCAGTCCTTTGAGCACAGAGAGTTCAACAGTCACCACCTCGTTCAGCGTTACAAAATGGGGGGGGGAGTGACCACAGAGGTGGGGGCACCAGATGCAGCATGAGAAGGATGAGTTTGGATTTTCTTTTTTTGTTGTTGTTTTTCCTTTTAACTTAACATTTTACAAACAGCTAAAAACTACAACACATCACAGCTACGCTGGTGGGGAGGGGGGCACCAAAAAAAGCAGCCACACAAAGTGGGGTGGAGCAGGGGCAGCTTAACCTACAGGGGCTATTGTGTGGAAAGGCTGAGATGGGGAAACTGAGGCTCTGGTCCCTGCATTAGGGGGTCCCTGGCTTGCTACCCACCCTCTTTCCACTTTAGAGGAATTGCTGGGCAGGCCCCTGCTCCTTGTGCTTTTTGATCTGCTGGTTTGACCTTAGGCCTGGTTTCTTTCCCTCCCCTGACCCCCGCCTGAAGGGATCCGTTGGGGATGGGAGGGCAGCTGTGCTGTAACAATCTGTGCTATAGTGAGCGGAGCCTCTCACTCCAGAGGCCTGTGCTCCTTGAGAGGAAGGAAGGGACCCTCAGATCTCCCAGGACTGGCCTGGTACTCATCCCAGCCTGGCCTCGGGCCCCTCCCTCCCAGGCCTGGCACAGAAACGAGATTAGGGGAGGTGCTACGGAAGGCAGGGTTGTGTGTGTCTGCTGAAATTACCCTTGGCTTATATTGTAGGACAGTATAGTGACACCCCACCCCATGGCACATACACACACACAGTGTACACACGCAGTCACACACACACACATAGTCCTGCTGAGCTGTTTCAGAACTTAATACATAAATAAGAATCAGAAAGCTAATTTCATAAAATTCAGGCTTCTTACAGCCTATGTTGAGGGGGAAGTAGAGGCTAGGGGTCTGAGGTTTATTGCTACTCCCCCAGCATCCAACAGGAGGCATGAGAGAGCACTCGAGGCCCTTCTGACTCAAGTTGAAGTTCTTTTGGTCCGTGGTCTACACCAAGCCGCAGCCCCCAGCATAACCACGCGTCCATGATTTCACCAGGGCATGGGCAGAGGAAATGAGGGGGAAGGCAGGAAGCCTGTTCTGGAGACCCTGGAGCTAGGAGAGCAAAGACCCCCTGACCCCCCTCACTAACAACAGGGAGAAGGGTGGGGCCAAGCCTTCTCTTGTGCAAAGTCAAGGGTGGTAGGAGGTGGGGAGTAGAGCTGCATCCCAAAACTGGGATGAAGGAGCCTTCCCTATAGTGTTTGCCCACGGGGTCACACACATGCACACGCACACATACACAAGGCTAAGACACCAAACATGGGCATGGGGAGGGAGGGCTCGGGACCAGGATGGCAGGGCAGGGGAAGGGAAGAAGTTGGTCTCACAGTGTGCCTGCCACCCCCAACGTCCCAGAGAGCCCCTCACTGCAGCACCTGCCCCCGGGTCTCAGGCAGCTTCAGGGCCAGAGAGCTACCAAGGGCAAGGGCAGCAGAGGCAAAGAGGATGGGGGTAGCCTTGGTGATTCCCACAAAGGACGTGAAGATGCTGATCCCCAGCACGGCAGCCAGCTTACACAGGGCGTTCAGGAAGCCGAAGGCTGTGGTCCTGTCCAGGGGTCCCCCCCGTGCAGCACGGAATGGGCCAGACCAGGAGGGAGACAGAGAAAGAGGCAGGGAGGGTTGGTGGGGGCAGAGCAGGTATGAGGAAGTAAAGGAGAGATGGCGGGCAATGTCCAAGAGGGAGAGGAAGGACAGAGGTCAGAGAGGTGAGGGACGCACAGCAGGGAATATAGGTAAATTGGGAGGCAAGGGGTAAGGAGACGGAAAATTAGGTTAATCGTTACAATTTCAAGGAGTGAATTCAAAGCTAACCAGGTCTTAGAGGAGAAACTCAATGGAAACGTATATCCTTTTACCCCCGAAAGATGCTTTTTCCATTCAGCCCCTCTTCCTCGCCCCACTTCTCCCCCACCTTCTATGCCCTCACACGGCTGTCCTGCCCCCACCACATTCCAACTACCTCTTGTCCGAGGGGTAGAGTTCAACAGTCAACACGTCCAGCGCGTTCCAGGATGCGATGCTGACCCCCCCAAAAAGGCAGAGCAGAGCGATCATAGCTGACTCACTGTTCCCAAAAGACAGGAAGAAGCAGGAGATGCAGGACATCACACTGGAGCCAGCTGGAACCGGAAAGGAGAGCAGCGTGAGCCTGGCCACACTGGCACCCATCCACCGCCCACCCCGTCCCATCGACGGGTGTTGAGTGCAGCCCAAGATGAGACTTTTTCCAAGGTTCCCCAAAAGGACGGCTTTTCACTCATTCCCAGCCTCCCTCACCGTTGTCTCCTTAATCATGTCAGTACCAACCACTTCTCCATGCCAGCTGCGGGCCCCACGACCTGATGCCCTACGTGCTCTGGTCTGATGTGTCAACCCTATGAAGCAGATTCTGGCATCACCATTTCCCTGAGGATACAACTGGGCTCACAGAGGTTAGGGAACTTGCCCAAGGTAAGTGGTGGAGCCGAGATTCAAAACCTATAACCTCAAAGCCTGTGCACTTGCTATCCCGTCTACAGCCTTGACTCAGCGGAGAAGCTTCTGGGCCGGGCCCCACCCCACCCTGCAGCCACCCTCCCAAGCAGAAGACATGAGAGAACCTTCTCTGGCTAAGGTGAGGAGCCTGTTGACGCTCACTCCGCCCCGCAGCACCCTAAGCAGTTCTGACACCACCGCCCAGCCTCACCCCCGTACCAAGCATTCGGAGCCTGCCAATCTTGTCCATGAGCAGGGCAGACACGATATTCCCCGGAAGCACAGCCAGCGTCCCCAAGAAGCTGACGAAGTACACCATGTAGGCCCCTTCGCCCGTCCCCGTCACATCTAACGGGCAGCCCTCCTTGTTGTGCAGGAATGTGCTGTTCACCAGATGGCTGTTCACAAACTTGTACTCAAACAGGTCTGGGGGGTGAGGGTCAAGACAGGCAGGCAGTCATGTCAAATGGGAGACGGAGGCTGCTACTGCTATGGCTCAGGCTCGGGCTCTGCCTTTGTGGAGTTTGGGACTTATTGCAAAACATCAAATAACATCACCATAGGAACTAGAAATCTTTTTTTTTTTTTTTAGAAATCTTTATAGCAGAAAATGTCCGTAGTGTATTACATGAAACAGCGCGACTATCTGTTTCCAAGTTTTTTAATCAATAATCGGCTTCCCCCGTCTACACCTTTTTCCTCTTCTCTCCCCTCCCTCCTCTCCCATTCCCCCTCAGACACATCACCTTTACCTTCCTCACTTCTAAGCTCCAAGGGCCCTTCCTTTGCCTCTGTAACTTGTTTCCTAAGCCCATTTCTTCTAGTAATTACTTCTACCTCTGTGATTTTCCAAATAAATGTTCTCTTATAAAAGATGAAAAATAATCTGCTTCCTATTGATTCTTTTTGTCCGCCTT